GCTGTTTCTCTCTAGAGAGCAGTTTCCGAGCAGCTTGAGTAGCTTGGAGCTGGCTTTCCAAGTTGTAACTGTTTATGCCTTTAACAATGTCTTCAACAGACCAATTTACAGTACCCTGATTGTTTCGGTTTTCCTGGAGTGGAGAAGTAGCATCATCGGGAAATGAGCTGACATTTCTCCTTTTCAGCATCTGGTCATCTTTTTTAGCTTTCCTAAGTTCCACATTAACTTCTATTCGGTGGCGGCGCATTTCTGTACTGTCTTTCCCCTTGTTCTTGAATCTGTTAAGCCGGGCAGCTGGTGAATTAGCATTCTCGTTGGTGGACATGGTTGCAGAACAGGAGAAAAGCTGCACAGCTGGCTCAGACTTCCACGAAAGTCGGTGCGGGGCTCTCAAGCTGCGGGTCGGCAGCTGTGGAAGCGTCCACTAGCCCTCAGCCCTCAGACTTTGTCACAAAAACAATTCCTAACAATAAAAGAATGGCTGGGGTAATCCCCATCCCTGACCTCAAGCTGTACTATAAAGCAATAGTGATAAAAACTGCATGATACTGGTAAAGAGACAGACATGTTGATCAATGAAATAGAATTGAAGACCCAGAAATAAAACCACACACTTATGGATACTTGATCTTTGACAAAGAAGCCAAAAATACACAATGGTAAAAAGAAAGCATCTTCAATAAATGGTGATGATCTAACTGGCTGTCTGTATGTAGAAAAATGAAAATAGACTTATGTTTGTCACCATGCACAAAGCTCAAGTCAAGGACCTCAACATAAAAGCACTGAATTTAATAGAAAAGAGAGTAAATTCATTGGCACAGGGGGAAATTTCCTAAACAGAACTCCAATGGATCATGCTCTAAGATCAAGAATTGATAAATGGGACCTCATGAAACTGGAAAGCTTCTGTAAGGAAAAGGACATAGTCAATAAGACAAATTGGTAACTTACAAATTAGGAAAAATCTTCACAAATCCCACATCCAATAGAGGGCTTATATCCAAAATATATAAAGAACTCAAGAAGCTAACCATCAAAAAACCAAACAATCCAACCAAAAAATGGGGTATAAAACTAAACCTAGAATTCACAACAGAGGAATCTTGAAGGGCTGAGAAGCATTTGAAAATGTTCAAAGTCCTTAGTGATAAGAGAAATGTAAATCAAATTGACCCTGAGATCCCACCTTACACCAATCAGAATGGCTAAGATCAAAACCTCAGGTGACAACACAGGTTGCCAAGGATGTGGAGATAGAAGAACGTTCCTTCATTGCTGGTGGGATTGCAAACTTGTGCAACCACTCTGGAAATCAATCTGGATGTTTCTCAGAAAATTGTATATAGATCTTCCTGAAGATCTACCAATACCACTCTTTGGAATATACCCAAAAGATGTCCCACCAAGCCACAGGGGCATGTGTTCCATTATGTTCATAGCAGTCTTGTTTGTTATAGCCAAAAGCTGGAAACAACCCAGATCTCCCACCTGGATAGAAAGTGTGGTTCATTTACAGAATGGAATGCTACTGAGCTTTTAAAAATGAGGACATCCTGGTTTTACAGGCGGATGGATGGAACTAGAAAATATTATCCAGAATGATGCAACTCAGCCCCAAAAGGACATGCATGGTATGTTCTCACTAATAAGTGGATATTAGTCCAAAAAAGGTACAGAATACCCAAGATATAGTCCACAGAATTCAAAAAGTTCAACAAACTGAAAGGCCCAAGTGAGGACACCTCAGTCAAACTTGGGAGGGAGAAGAAAGCAATCACAAGTGGGGAGGGAGGGAAGAATCTGGGAGGAAAAGTGGGGGGAGGAGGTGTGCAGAAGGGAATTTGATCTAGTATTGGGTTAGGGAAAAGAACTGTAGCCCTGAGGACCAGCAGAAAGAATGGAAACAGGCAACCTTCACAGGTAGAAGGTTGAAGGGACTCTCCAGAATGTTCCAGAGACCTGGGAAGTGAGAAACTCTCAGTACTCCAATGGCGGGACATTAGATGAATTGACTGACAGTAAGGAGAGAGAACTTACAGAGCCTACCTCCCACAGAAAGAGAAGACATCAAATGAGGGAGGGGTTGCCATCCCACACTCAAAACTCTGACCCAAAATTTATTCCTGTCTGAAAGAACTGCAGGGATACAAATGGAGAGAAGCTTGAGGAAAAGAAGGTCTAGTAACAGGTCCAAAGTGGGATCCAGCTCAATGGGAGGTCCCACGACCTGACACAATTATTGAGGCTATGGAGCTCTCACAAAAAGGGACCTAGCACGAGTACATGCCAAAAGACCCAGCAAACAGATGAAAGAGTCAAATGCAGCACCCAACCAATAGACAGAAGATGCTGACCCATGTGGTTGAATTATGGAAAGGCTGAAAGAAGCTGAGAAGAAGGGAAACACTGTAGCAGGACCAGCAGTCTCAATTAATCTGAATCCCTGAGATCTCTCAGACATTGCAACACTAAAGTCAATAAACTATAAAGAATAGCAACAAGAAAATCTAATATGAGAAATAATTACGTAGGATGTTGATTCCTTGGCAAGATAATAAAATTGACAAACCTTTATCTAAGTAACTTAAAGGCAGAGAGGAAAAAGCCATTGAGATGAGAATAAGCTGACATTACTTCCTAAAAATTTGTTATTGACAAGGTTTTTTCTCTGTCTTCTGGGTGTACAGATCCTCATAGGCTGAAAAGGGAGTTGTAAACCCTCAGCATTACATAAGGGATGTGTTTGGTATATGTGACTTATAATTATTATATTACAGAAATAGGTACGTTAATTAAAAACGAGTTAAGCTATGTAGTACTTTTAGTTTCAAATTTCACACTTAACTTTCTCTGTACCTAAAATGGAATAACATAATTCCTATGTTTTGACAAATATTAGGAAAGTGCCATTAATTAGTACATGTTTGTCACTATTTAGGAATTGCTACAGATCATGTTATAGTTCCTTTAAAAAAATGCCTCATAGTTTCCTGCGTGCATGTGGTCTCATCATTTTCTGTTTGTATATTCAATTAGATTTAAAGACACTGGCCCCAAGAGACTTCTAAAATCCAAACAAAGCTTCCATTTTCATCATATCTTACTCTTCCTCTGAATTCATCCCTCTGGTTGAGCACTGTGGATTCCCTTTGTGTCCTAACACCCTAGGAGAGCAGAATGTAGGCCAATTGTTAAGCATGTCCCTCTGCATTTCAAAAACAAGTGAAACTTTCTTGTAGTTTGTTATGAAAAGAAGTATTCTTCAGGGGTCAACTCTCTAGGAAGACAGTGTCAAGTATACCTCCTCTGACATCATCTTGACATCAGGAGATATGAGTACTCAGCATATCCACATATCACCCATGAGTGTTACTGTATAGAGATAGGCTGTCTATCCTTCTAACCATTTCAACCCCATCCAGCATCTTCCATCAGAGAGAAGTCTGCTTTCAAACGTGAGTCTTAATGTCTTTCCTCAGTCATGCAGAAGCCAGGATAGTTTGCTGCCAGCTGTTTGAGTGCAGCTCTCTGAGCTTGTCTTTCTCTTGCAGGAACTGAATGCTGGACAGTCTGAATGCTAACAGAGCTATGGATCATCTGAGTCTGAGCGTTCAAGGTAGAGGGACCTTGCAGGAGACAGTTCCCTGTGCTTAGTGTCCTCTCTCTGATAATCTTTGGCAAGATGAACTTGGTGAATGATTCCAAGTAACAAAGGTCAATTGGGTTATTTTGCCTAAAATGTTTTATTACAGTGTTTAATGTACATACACATGTTCACATGCACACATGCACACATGCACACATGCACACAGACACACACACACACATATACACACACACACAAACTTTTTCTTTGGACAAATATCAGGAATAATCAGTACGATATAATAACTGTAGGTATCTCAAGCACCAGGATACAAAATCCAATGACCTGAAAGACCCTTGCCTGCCTTCAGGTTGGCTCTTTAACTCTGTGTCAAGGCAGCAGTTAGTAATTTGCTTTTGGACTCACTGTTGCTAGATGGCATGGTTACAGAATATTTTCTTTCATTTTTAGAAAGCAAGAACAGTAATAGTAATTGCATGTTGCTTTGGTATGCATGTATGGAAAATCAGAAACTTCCATTCAAATTTTAATTCCTTCTAACAAAATTTCTCTGACTTGAATTTTACACTCACTTGATCAAGACTGAATATTCATATCTCTGCAACGCTGCTTTCTGCCTTATAGATATGCCCTTGAACTTCATCTTCTCTTATGCATAAATATATGCTTATACCACTTTTTGTTTCATAGAAAATATTATATACTGCACATATAGGTACACATAAATTTTATTTCCCATATGTTTAAACAACTGTGACAGGATACTGACTATATACTTAGTGTTAATGTTACCATACTTAGTAAATGGGAAAATTCTCATGGATGCCATCTCAATATTGAATGAACCTTTGGAATCATTAATTTCATACTTGTATACAATTGATATGTCTTATATATAATTATCATAGTCACTGTTTTATGCCAATAGCATATCTTATGAATTAATAGTATAGCTCAAATATATATAAGAGTCTGTAAAATAGAGCACATAATGGCAGTGTGGCTTATATTCATTTTAGAATCAAGATGTGAAGAACTTACAAGGAAAAACAAATTTGTTGCACATAAACCTAAGAATATTATTTTCTTTCAAAGATGGAATTGGTTGAGCTTCATCTGCCAATTGTCAGTGGTGGATCCTGGGAAATCTGTAGAACAACTAATATTGCTATGAAAGTTTCTCTTGCCATTAGAATCACATATACAGGATTGCTGTGAGGTTTTAATCACACACCATTTGTAGAACCTTATGGAAAATGGTGATACTTAGCAAGAGCAGTGCTAAGTTTATATGTGCTGTGAATTGTGTCTCTGGATCAATTGGGATTACACTGAGCCATAGATATGTTTTTATTCAACAATGTGACAGTCATCATGTAGTGAGAGAATGGCATCTGGAACCCTAGCTGTGGGGATCTTCTTCTTATTTCAGACTGTTCTAGGAATGCTGGGGAACTCAGCCTTGATTTGTTGTTTTATCATCACCGACTTCACAGGGATCAGGGCGAAGCCCATAGACCTGATTGTGAAACATCTGAGCTTTGCCAATATCATGGTTATTCTCTGCAAAGGAATCCCTCAGACAATGACTGCATTTGGTCAGACATATTTTCTAGATGACATTTCATGTAAACTTCTCTTTTATTTGCATAGAGTTGCCAGAGGAGTATCCCTTGGCTCCACATCCCTGTTGAGTATCTTTCAGGCCATTACTATCAGCCCCTTTAATTCCAAGTGGGTATGGCTCAAGTTCAGAGCCCCCAAGTTCATTGGTCCTTCCCTGGGCCTCTGCTGGTCCCTGTCTCTACTTGTAAATAGCTTTGTTATCATGACAGTGACAGACATGAGAGATAAAGGAAACCTTACTGAATTTAGACAATTTGTATACTGTTTAGTAGTAAAACTTTCCAAAGAATCTTATGTAATTTATCTGACTCTATTGTTCTCCACTGATTTCATATGTTTAGGACTCATGATGTGGGCCAGTGCCTCTGTGGTATTTATATTGTACAAGCATAGGCAGAAGGTCCAACATATCCACAGCTCCCCGTCTACTAAGTCATTCTCTGAAATCAAAGCCACACGAAGAATTCTTTCTCTAGTTTACAGCTTTGTCATCCTTTATGGAACCTCTGTCACCTTATTGATATATTTTTCTTTCCAAGATGAAACAGACACAGGGTTGGTCAATGCCAATGTGGCCATGAGTGCATGCTTCCCAGCACTCTGCCCCTTTCTACTCATCAGTCACTGTATTAAGAGTTTTCAGTCTTTGAGTACTTGAGTATATCAAGAACCAACTTTTCTTGTGTAATATGAGTACTCTAAAACAAAACAGTATTTTGTATACAATATAATCTCTTCACTTCTGATACATGATATACATATAATATTTCCTTATAATCTTTGGAGTATAATCTCAAATCCAATCGCTGTCAATTGTTTCAATTTATATCCTCAAACACTTTATATTTTATTTTTTTTTTCATTTTTTCTCAATCACTTTAATAGTGAGGCCCTTTAATAATACAGCCACTCATGTTGTAGTGATCTCCAAACGTAAAACTATTTTGTTGCTACTTCATAATTGTAATTTGTTCCTGTTATAATATAAATCATAATATAAGTCATAATATGAGTATTTGATATGCAAGATACCTGATATGTGACCTCTGTGAACGTGCCATTAGAGCTCTAAAAGGCTCACAACTCACAGGGTGGGAACAGCTGATTTAGAATATGTAGTGCTAGATGAGTTCACACTCTGGGAAGTATAGGTTATCGTGATTTTATGAGACTTTAGAAGGTCTGATTATCATTTATTATTCATTAATCTGTTGCATGGAGACAACTTAATCTACCCTAGTTTACTACTATGTCACCATCCTGAAGGAAGAATGGAGAACCAAACTATTTCTGAGAAAAGAAACAGTTGTGAAGAATGCCGAAGTGATTGGTAACATTGGCCACTCTATAATTTGCTCATGTTTGAGACCATATAGAATTTAGAGAGTTATTAGGAGTTTTGCTTCTCATGCACTGATGGTTAATGACTAAGATTGGGGAAATGTAGTGTGGGATGCTGGAATATTGTTTTTCATGTTTCCATATAATTTTAGATTTGAAATGATCAGAAATGGAGGCAAAATTGTAACCAGGTAAGTTTCTAAATTCAGCCCCAGTTTCCAAATAATGACACAGATACTATATTTACTTATAAGCTTTTGGCCTTTTAGATAACCATTGTTTCTCATTAGCCTATAATGTGATTATCTCATTTTTACTAATTTATATCCAGCCTCATGGCTGGTTAGACATCTCTCTTTTTTCCTGGCCTGCTTCTTCCTCCATGACAGGCTGGCTGAATCTTCTGAACTCCTGAACTCCCTTCTCAGAGTTTCTTTCTCTAAAAGTCTCATCTTACTATTCTGATTTTTACCATTGGCCATAGGTTTTTATGTAAACCAATCAGAAGGTGATAGATAACACTGTTTACAAAATACTAGAGCAGGAGATGCTTCATAATATCAAAATATGGCCTCTAATCAGATCTGTCAACAAGAATAGTCTATAGACTGTGTATAAAGACATTCCTCCAACAGAAAATTATTTTTAGAAGCATATAATCAGACACTTCTCATTTTAAAATATTTATTATTTATTTTATACATCTGTTGGTATTCATGTATGTATGTGTGCCATGTGCAAGCCTGAGTGGTAGAATTCAAATAAAGGTGTCAAATGCCATGGGATTAGAGTCATAGATAGTTATGATCTATCATGTGAGTGCTGAAAACCATACCTAGGTCTTTTCCAGGAATTCAAATACTCTAAATTATTCACCAAGCCCTCAGAAGGTGATTTGTAAGCCTTAAGCTTTAAAGAATGCTGTTGTAAAGAAGGATAGACATATGAGAATAGAATTGCATGTTCTTTGGAAGGTGAGCTTCTGATGTCAGATATGATGAAAATATGTGTGCCTAGGAAAATAGTAAACCAATGTGAATCAGAATACTTCTATATTTGTGAATCTTGACCAATATAGTAATATTAGAATTATGAGTTTCTTCAAGTCTGTTGGTCAGCTTTGAAGGAATTTTTATGAATTCATTTTTCTAATTCATTAGACTCTGAACAGAATTTCTAACATAAACTGAGTAAGTTTTTAAAAAGACATATACAAACATAACTACATTGAGAGTAAAATTGCAATTGAATCCAACCTGCATACAGTTATTATAAAATAACAATAAAATATTCATCTTATGAGATTCAATTATGTTAAAAATATGAAATGTTCACTATGCATTCCATGTTGTATGCTTGACTCCCAGTTTATGCTGCTGCACTGATAGATGACAAATATCATGGTAGTGGCATAGTTACTTTTGTGCGAGGAATTAAAAATGTGGAAATTTGTGCAAAATGGCCTACATGATCAGCCAATTTTTTTCAACTTTAAGGTTCTTGGAAGTGTCCCCAATGAGGTAATTTTATTTAAATTTTTTAATAATAATTTCTGCTAGGCATCCAAAATTTTTCAAACATATATGTCACTAAAAATTTTTAAGACTTTACAATGAAATCTCCTTTGAGGGAAATGGATGGAACTCCCAACTCCTACTGCCTCTATGAAAAAAAAATGTCAATTAGACTTGGATTCGACAGTCACAAGAATATGAAAAACAGACACATATAAACTCTGAAATAGAATGAGATGAGCCAATCATATACCTCAGTTGTTTGCTTTAAAGAATATTGGGTTCAGAAACATGGATGGACAAGACCCCTTAGTTTTCTGCAAAACAAAGTCATAGACCTCAAGTCCTTCTACTTCAACCTCAGATTCTGCCTATCACCACAGCCTTGATGTGGTTAATCAGAATTGGCTTCTGAAGTGTGATGTGTGTGACAAGGGCCAGCTGTGGTAGCATGTCCTCTGTTTTTTCCCTCAGAGTGCCCAGGTCCTGCTGTACACCATGCTAGAAGGGTGAAGTAGAGTCTAGAATGGATGGGATCTGACAGATCCTGGTCTGGCTGTGATTAGTGCTGAGGGAGGAGAGAGGAAACATTCTCTGAGGATCTTAGTGTTACACTTTTTTTAGACTAAGGCATTGTTGAACAATCTTCAAAGAAACAGCTCTCTTAGATGATCTTAGCTTGTGCCTGCCTTTATTTGGGGTGGGCTTGTATGCATACTTTTTATTCAGGGTGAACCAGGGCTATTTAAAGCCATTAGAGAATGGGATGACTTTTCAAGGTAAATGAAACTCATTGGCCACAGTTTAAAATACTGTATATACCTAGTTTGTATGGAAAGGCATTCCAGGTACTTGCTGCATGGGTTAACTAGAAAAGAGGAAGTTCAAATTGTGGGTCTGTCAAGGACTACTTGATCATTCTCTCTCTCTCTCTCTCTCTCTCTCTCTCTCTCTCTCTCTCTCTCTCTCTTTCTCTTTCTGACTCTCTCTTACTTTGTCTTACTTTTCTATCTCTATCTTTCTGTTTTCTCTCCCCATCCCTCTCCTTGCACTATACCAATCTGCTTCCTGCCATGACATTCATTGACTAATCCCCTAAAATGACAACCAAGACCTCAGTTGAATACTTTCTTTAATAAAATTTTCCTTGCTCATGGTATTTTGTCACAATAATTCAATATAAAGAAAGCTAATTAATATGAGACAATATACTATGGATGTATTTCTCTTATATTAACTTATTTCCTTTACATTTGTGGGTACATGCTGTCTCAAAATGATTTAGCAGTAGTAAGTAAAATGGTTAGCTCTCTCTAATATCTTTCCAGGAATTGTTATTCCAATTCTTCAAACAGTTTTCTTTAAAAAACCAGAGTACTAAATTTTTATATGCTTCTTCATCATCTTTTAATTCTCTAATCTTCATATCCATATCCTAACAAATCTATAACTTCATGTACTCTCCTTCCGATATTATTTATTTCTAAATCATATACAATTTTCCTACTTTTTCTATCTATACCTTTTCTTCACCAAACCACTTTAACTCTTTATCCTTGATGTCCCCAAGTTTACCTTGGCTAATTAATGTGGCAGTTGTTAGACTTCAGGGTATATAATTCCAAAATAAAACCAAGTTTGGCAGTGAACCATTTCCAAAAAGGACTATGTAGGTTCTTATGGCACATGTAATTATGTTTTCTAGATTCTTTCCATGACCCACCATAAAGGCCAAGTGGAAGGCTTGTTCCTCCTCTTCCACAGCTTTAGGGCTGTCTCCATTCCCCAGTCTTGAAAAGCACATCTGTTACATTTAATATGGCATAATTAGCTCTGAGTATTAGGAGAAGTATATTTCCCAGAAAGAAAGATTGAACATAGTGTAGTAAAAACAGCAGATCAGCTTTAGGGCAACAGCAATGTCAGCACATGTGAGGATCCTGGGATCAATGGCTGGGCAATCCTCCAGGGGCAGGACCTGTATCACACTTTCCGTTAAATGCTGAACTTAGCATTTCAAGAAAATGTGCCTAAGAAAAAAGCTGGTGTAGCCATTTTAATGCCTGACAGAACAGACTTCAAACCAAAACTAATCAGAAGAGATAGAGAAGGATAGTACATAATCATCGAAGAAAAAATGTCTACTATGATGACATTTCAATTCTTAACATCTGTGCACCAAACAAACATGCATAGTTGTCTGTGGAGTAGATAATACTACATCTTAAATCATATACTGCCCCGTCATACACTGAAAGTTGGAGGGATCACTGTCACCAAGAGACAGATCATCTAGATAAAATTAAAGGTGGGAAAAGCTAAAGATAAATGATGTTACAAACCAAATTGATGTAACAGATATTTATAGAGCATCCCACTCACAGGTAAAGAATATACCCTCTTCTCAGCACCTCATGTAACTTGCTCCAAAATTGACTGTGTACTCAGAAACAATGTAAATCTCTGCAAATAAAACAAATTGAAATTATACCCTGCTGGATTATCTGACCACTATTATGTGAAGTTATATATCACCAACAACAGGCTTAGAAAACCATGGAAACTGAACAACTCACTACTGAATGAAAACTGCTCCAAGAAAAAAAAATAAGAAAGCAATGGAAAACAATCCAGAATTGAATGAAGATGAGTTCACTGCATACTTAAACTTAAGAGACACAAAGATGGTGGTTTTAGGAAGCAAGTTCACAGGTATAAGTACCAATATGAAAAAAAAAAGAAGCAATACGATACTAGTGACTTAATAGAACATCTGAAAACTCTTGAATAAAATAAAGAAATC